GAACTAATACTTGCGTGGGTTATGGCAGACAGATTATTTATTTATAGCTTTTAAAATTATTGTTATTTTAAATTAAAATAGGAATACAGGAAAACGGGGGAAAGATATAGATATTAGAAGGAGGAGAAGGAGAAGGGGAGGAGGAGAAGGAGACATTGGATTTATATCCCATCCTTTACTCGGAGTCTCAGAGCAGTTTAAAATCTCCTTTCCCTTCCCCTCCCCACAACAGACACCCTGTGAGGTAGGTGGGGCTGAGAGAGCGCTGACAGAAACTGATCTTTCAAGTACAGCTTTTGTCAGAACTATGGCTTGCCCAAGGTTATCCAGCCAGGTGCGAGCGGAGGCGTGGGGAATCAAACCCGGTTCTCCCAGATTAGAGTCTGCGCTCCTAACCACTACACCAATCTGGCTCCATAATACTAATATAACTTATTCATAACGAGGATGATCAACATCAGAGTAAATATAGAGCATTTAACATAAACATTTAAAATGCACGGTGTTAGGAAGGTTTTTACATACTGTATACATTTATTATTAAAGCCTAGCCTTTATTACCGTTTGTCACCATTAATCATAACTGTTCAACATTGATTATTACATTATATGTTCCATTACATCTTAATACCACTATGGTTGTCATACAGATTATTTTGTTTACTTCATTTATATCCCGCTCTTTGCCCCAGTGAGGTTCCAAAGTGGCTTACAACATTCCCTCCCTTCTCCAGGTTTATCCTCACAACAACCCTGTCAGGTAGGTCAGGCTGAGAGTGTGCGACTGGGCCAGGGTCACCCTGCGAGCTTCTATCGCACGAGGGGGGATTCGAACCTGGGTCTTCCAGATCCCAATCTGATGCTCTGAAGTTGGGGCCTGTACGGTTGTGGAGCTGAATGGCCTTAAGGCTGTTCTTGAATAAATTACCCACTTTGCTTTTCCTTTCAGTGGATGTGATCAGTTCCGGAAGGAGCTGGGTTTGTTTGCCCTCTGGGCTCCTGGTGTTTGTAGAGTGGGAAAAATACAAGGGAGGCTACCGAGCGGTGAAAGACACACACCCTGCTTGGCTGTCTTTGGGTGAGGCTGGATTCATAGAAGCAGTTGAGGAAAGGGGAGTTTTGTTCCTGGAAGGTTGCAGGTTGTCCAGAAAAGGTTTGAATGGCCAAGGTTTTCCCGTGTCCCATGATTTGATTTAGCCCATTTTCCTATATTTACTAAGTAAAAGAAACGTTAAAGTTATCCCATTTTTGTTTTTTATTCATTTTATTTGTGTCCCGAAGTCTTGAACTGAAATATTCGATGTGGAACAGACGAAACTTAGTGTGATTGAAATGTTCGAACAAATCCAGAACTTTATGTGGAAATTATTATTAAGTAAAAGATACGTTAAAGTGATCCCATTTTTGTTTTTTATTCATTTTATTTATGTCCTGAAGTCTTGAACTGAAATATTCGATGTGGAACAGACGAAACTTAGTGTGATTGAAATGTTCGCACAAATCCAGAACTTTATGTGGAAATTATTATTTTTAATTAGAATAATACTTGTAAAGACCTTAAAGTAGAGTGTACTTCCTTACATTGTTTAAATTTAAGAAGAAGAACCAAGAAGGTATTGAGAACTGAAAGATGACATACAAATAAGAGGTTTTAACTTTTCGTTTGACCTGCGCGACTAATCAGTGAATGTGTAACTTGGTTTTTATTTGGATTATTATATGGATTTCTGGTTTTGTTCTCTCCCCAACCCCTAGAACGTACACGCCCTCTCTCATGCAATTCCCGGGAATAATTGCCTGGGAACCATAATAATAATAATAATAATAATAATAATAGTAATAATAATAATAATAATAATAATAATAGATTGGATTTATACCCCGCCCTTCACTATCCAAAGGTGTCTCAGAGCGGCTTACAAACTCCTCTCCCTTCCCCTCCCCACAACAGACACCCTGTGAGGCAGGTGGGGCTGAGAGTGCTCTGACAGAAACTGCTCTTTTCCAAGAACAGCTCTTATCAGAGCTACGGCTTGCCCAAGGTCATCCAGCCAGGTGCAAGTGGAGGAGTGGGGAATCAAACCCAGTTCTCCCAGATTAGCGTGCGTGCACTTAACCATGACACCAAACTGGTGCAGCTGATATGTTGCATTGGCAACGGCATCCGTTCGTCGTTATTAATAACGGATCTGGAGAAATCGAAAACATAGCATGAAAAATTAAGCCGTGGAGAGTTTTCTGCCCCACATATCTGGTTGCAGGTGACAATATTTAGTCAAGTATTTTCACATGCAGAAGAAATTCCTTGTAGGTAGCAAACTAGGCGAATCGGGAAGAAAGTTAGGATAGGACCTTTCTCCCTGATGCCTAGTTTTCTATGAACTTGTTTGTACAAACTTATTCATATGGCCTAGAAGAATTCAGCACACATCCCCGCCTTCAGGGGTGTCCAACTCGTTTGTTATGAGGGCCGGATCTAACATAAATGAGACCTTTTTGGGCCGGACCACGTGTGTCACAAAATGTAATCCAGGTAGCGGGGATATAAATTTTATAAAGGACACAAACACAAAGGGTTTTTTAAAATTTAAAATAAAAACATGCTTAAAACATTAGCACTCTTGCAATATTTTGTTTATTTAACAGTGCCTGATAACTGACACCTCTTGTTCTGGATTATTACATCAAAATGTCTGTGCTGTTGCAATCTTGAGTATGCTGTTCAGGGGTGTATCTGTAAGCTGCAAACCTACGATGACGCAGCAGCAGCAGAGCTGGAAGCAGAAGTAGGAGACAACCTGTTCCACTGCGGGCCTGATAGAAGCCCTCCGGGGGCCCGATCCGGCCCCCGGGCCACGTGTTTGACACCCCTGTTCTAAAGTAATGTAGCCCAGTTATAGCCCTACCATACACCTGTTTGTTTTTTTGCAACCACTGATGTTGTTTGACACGAACCCCAGAACTAGCTTTAACTATTTGGTCTGCTCACAGTTCCGGGATCCACCAGAGTTGCAATTTTCTCTCCAGTGCAGGACCCACTTGGCTCCATGTCATTTTCCTCTCTTCCATTTTTTTTATCCTCACAACAACCTTGTGAGGTAGATTAGGCTGAGAGTGTGTGACTGGGCCACAGTCACTCAGCCAGCTTCCGTAGAAGAGTAGGGATTCGAACCTGGGTCTGCCAGAGCCTGTTCCAGCTCTCTGCATGCCATTACCGACCTGGGCAGAGTTGTCGAGCTGAGGTGACAACCCCCCTGTCTATAGGACAGAGAAGTTGTGCAGTGGAGATAAACAACAGAGGGGGGATCTGATGGAAGGAGGATCAGGAACTCAAGAAGTGTCTGGCCAAGGGAGCGCTGCCTCTCGAAAGCCCATGGCCCGAAAATCTTGTTAGCCTCTAAAGGTCTGCTGGATTCGAACCTAGGTCTTCTCCTGCAGACGAACACGGCTACGCTCTGAAACTAAACTAAAGAGATGTTGACTTCCGAGTCTCGGGTTCACGCCTTTCGCTTCCTCAGCAGCTTGGAGAGGTTCCTTGTCTCAAACATGCTGTAAAAGGCGCTGCTAGGGGTGGTATGGTACACAGACCGCAGGCCTGCCGGAGGTGGGCAGGAAACGCAGCTGTTTTCCCAGCTGGGCCCGACTGGTGTAGAAGTGAATGCCTGGCTATATTCAATTCAAGGTTGAGCCAAGGCTAGGGGTCACCCCGGGTCACCCGCGGAGACCTGAGCCGTATGACCCCGTGTGTGTTCACTTTGCAGGGCCTCTGGTGAATATCTGCTGGGCTTGCCAGGAGATGGGGGCAGATTCAGGTCACGCTTCCTGGCCTCACCTTTTTGCAAAAATGCACGCTTTGTGTCGGGCTGGTGGCTTGGCAGCCCTGTCTTTAACCCCCCCCCCCCTTTACTGAAAACTTGGATTTCTGTTTTTAAAAACTCCTCGCAGTGGCTGTCTAATCCCATAATCAGGAGCGGTCTGTATGCTGTGCACCGGATGCTGAAGGGCTGTCTGCAATATGTCGGTTGCTGAGTTACGGTGCCGGCTGAGGTCACACGAGACCTTTCAGGATATTTTTCACAGTTCATTTTTTAATACTTTTAAAAGGTCGGCATGCCGATATCTTTTTACACCACTGCAGGTATTAAATCGCAGTTAGCTGCGGTTTGAGTGACCATGTGTAGTCCCTTGTATTTTATTTTGTTTCCGTTAATTTTTTTGTGCAGACTTCTATTTACCTTTTCTTTAATTTATGCGTAGTTTTGAGTTTTGCATGAAGACGTCACAAACGGTACTGCCGACATTTTATGGCCTTTTCCACCCACTCTTCACACTCCTTAATCGCCTTGCATTTTATTTATTTTTATTTACTTGGGGGGGGGGCAGCCTTTTTGAGCCAACCTTAACTCCAGGGGTCCCCAGCTATTTTGAGGCTGCAGGCGCACCCTTGGAATTCTGACGCGGCCTGGTAGGCGCAGCCCTAAAATGGCTGCCGCAGGGGGCGGAGCCAGCCACAAAACGGCTGCCACGGCTTTCCTCCAGTTGCGCAGCGAAGCGCCTTGAGCTATGGTGGCAGCCGCTACCAAAGCAATGTTTTTAAAAATCTGCACAGCCAATCAGAAAGCCTCGCTGAGCAAAAGCCCTACCCACTGTCCAAAAACACAGTTGCCAGGTAAAAGTGTCAGGGGTTGGGGACCCCTGCTTTACTTCCCCCCCCCCCGTAAGGACCCAAAGTGGCTTCCAGTGTTCTCCCCCCACTTAGCCTCTGCTTTGTGTGTATAGTCTGCCGATTTAGGTGCCGCGTCTTGCCCTTGGCATAAACAGTCTCCTAGTCCACATCAGCAAATCTGTCAGCCTTTAAAGGCCCTGCAAAATTCCTTTTTTGGCTGCTTGGTTCTGGAGCTGGTTCTTAGCACACTGTTTGCTTGGAATGAGATTTCTCTTTTTTCGAGGAAAGGTGGGGGGGAGGGCGGCAGCAAGTCCAGTGTCTGAAGGAGGAAAGTATGACTCAGGCGCTCAGCTCTCATGCCTTCTGCAAGTGTGGGAGGAAGCCCTGGCAGGCGTTCCACAATCACGAGGGCCGAAAGAAAGAACTCCTCTTCAGGTGCCTCGTCAGCAATGCTCTCTCTAAGCCCGGGGTGGCCAACCTGTGGAGTCTTGTGAACAAATATTCTACCTTGAGAGCGGCCGCGGGCATTAAAGTTGTGAGCGAGCGATTTGACTGCTGCGTACATTAGTTTGCTCTGGAGCCCTCCTTCCTGAGCGAAGACAAAAATCTGTGAGCCGGGGGCTAAAAAAACCCCTGTGAGCTAGCTCACACTAATTCTGCTGAGCGGGGACACTGCAGTCGTCAAATGTTGCAAATCCCTCAGATCTCGGAAGCCCGACGACCTTTGCCATGGGAAAGAGAGTTCTGTGCGTGCTCCCGAGTGAATACTATATCTGTAGAAAGACAGATGTTTAAATGACATTCTTTGGACAAATGCCGTCACTCGATGTTCCCTCAGGGCGTGCTGAAATGGATCAGATTTGCTCATTATTTTGCAAGTGTGTGTAAATATGTATCCTGCCCTGGTGGGCCCAGTCTAACCCAGTCTTGTCAGTTCTCAGAAGCTAAGCAGGGTCGGCCCTGGTCGGTACTAACTCAAGTGGGAGGCCGTCAAGGAAGTCCAGGGTAGCTATGCAGAGGCAGGCAATGGCAAACCTACCTCTGCTCTTTCTCTCGCCTTGCAAACCCCGGATTATCCCGACGGTCTCCCATCCAAGGGTTGACCAGGACCAATCCTGCTTATCGTCTGAGATCCGACGAGGTCGGGCTCCCCTGGGCCATCTGAGTCAGGTCAACGAGATGAACAGGGAGGGTGGGCCCTCAGCTGAGTTTTAAAATTTGCTTTAAGAATGGTGCACCTAAGGTGAGAGAAGATTTCGGCATGCTTTATTTTCCTCTCAACCCCCCCCCCCCGTTTTTGTCGGCTTGCCACTTAGTCCATGGGAACCGGTTAATCTTGTTTTGCCGTCAACGTAACCCTATTTGCCCCGTCCGCTTCTAATTAAAAATAGCCATTAAGCTGGGGTGGGGGGGAGGCTCTGGAGAGGCAGTCGGTAGAGCAGAGCTTAATCGTGTTTGGCATTTCTGGTATTGCTCTCCAGTAATCTGACACTTGTGTTAAGACGAGTTGCCAAAACGCAGCGGGGCGCCGTTCAGAAAGGTCCTTTTTGCTCCGCTGACATCGGGCTTGCAGCCTGATGTCTTGCAAACCTCGTGGAGGTAAAACCAAAGAGTGTCCCAAAAAACTCCTTTTTGCTCCACTGACATCAGACTTGCAGCCTAATGTCTTGCAAACCTCGTGGAGGTAAAACCAAAAGGTGCCCAAAAAAGGTCCTTTTTGCTCCGCTGATATCTGGCTTGCAGCATAATGTCTTGCAAACCTCGTGGAGGTAAAACCAAAGGGTGCCCAAAGCATAAAAATCTCAAGAGAGTCCGTAACCATTTAAAGGTCTGTGAGCCGCAATTTGCCCGTTGTGCGCAGGGACCGGCACCCAGCCAAATGAGTCAGCGGAAATCTGGATCAGCTGAAGGTAGTGGATGATTTGTCTGACTCAGATCTGGGGGAGCGGTCGCTCGTTTCCCCAAACACGGAACCGTGGCAAAGTATGTGGCTATATGTGCCAGAGGTCCCACATTCAGTTCTGGGCGTTTCACACTTACGCACATGAAACTGCCTTAGACTGAATCAGACCTTTGGTCCATCAAGGTCAGTCTTGGCTACACAGATGGGTGGGGGCTCTCTCCGGGGTTTCAGGCAGAGAGAGGTCTTTCGCATCATCATCTGTGTGTGTGTGTGTGTGTGTGTGTGTGTGTGTGTGTGTGTGTGTGTGTGAGAGAGAGAGAGAGAGAGAGAGAGAGAGAGAGAGAGAGAGAGAGAGAGAGAGAGATATGGGCATTCTGTCAAGTCACAGCCAACATATGAACATAAGAACATCAGAGAAGCCGCCAATGCTGGATCAGGCCAGTGAACCCTCCAGTCCAACACTGTGTCACACACTGGCCAAAAATACCAGGTGCCCTCAGGAGGTCCAGCAGTGGGGCCGGGACACCATAAGCCCCTCCCACCGTTGCTCCCCATCCCAAGCACCAAGAATACAGAGCATCACTTGCCCCAGACCAAGAGTTCCTATCTATACCTTGTGGCTAAGAGCCACTGATGGACCTCTGCTCCATATTAAGAACATAAGAGAAGCCCGTGTTGGTTCAGGCCAGTGGCCCATCCAGTCCAACACTCATTGTGTCACACAGGGGCCAGAAATACCAGGGCCATCAGGAGGTCCACCAGTGGGGCCAGGACACTAGAAGCCCTCCCACTGTTGCCCCACCCCCAGCACCAGGAATACAGGGCATGAAATTATCACAGCTAGCCTATTAAACAATTATTACAAACAAAATACCCACCCACATGCAAAAACAAAACTGAAACCTTTTTATTTTCTTCTGACAACAGCACCTCCTAAAGGAAGAAATGCATCTTGTTCTTGCATTGGAGAGTTCAGTTTGTAATTTAGGACTTGCTTGTCCTCAGTGCACAGAAATTAGATCAATCTGAAAAAAACAAAAAAGGCTTCAGGGAAAAAAAATGGAAAAAACCCAGTTTCCCCCCAAATTTTTCCAGTTTTTTTCCGGGCCTTCACATCTCTAACCTGGGACTTTCTGCATGCCAAGCAGAGGCTCTGCCACTGAGCCACGGCCCCTCCCCCGGGGAATAGGGAAGAGTTGGGAGAAGGCTAGAGAATCTTTGCCAAGCAGAGGAGACCCATACCGAGCTAGATGGACCCGTGTTCTAATTTGGCATGTGACTGCGTCAGTTGTTCATGCGTTCATCTAGTCGTGGCGTACCACCTTCACTACACTCGCGTGGGTGACGGATATGAAGCCAGGCCTGGAAATAGCCACTCTTCTGCTGTAAGTAAGAAGGTTTAGCAACGCTGGCGATTCAGTGTCTTGTCTTTGAGAAACCCCAATGTCTGGGGATCTCGGCTACTCGAAATCTCTATTTATTAAAACATTCCTATCTCACCTTTCCTCGTGGTCCAAGGCTCGTACGGTGATGGTTAAAGACATTTTCAGTTGCAAAAAAAAAAAAATAGCAAGCCCCAAAATACCCCCTCTTTAAAAGATGCCTGCTGTTCAAACCCCCTCAAAAAGCCGTGGCGAACGGTCACTTGCAGTGTCCCCTGAAGGTCTCTAGGGGCCCATCTCACCTCTTCGGGGGGTCTGTTCCACAGAACCGGAGCCACGAATGAAAAGGCCCTGGTCGATGCCCAGTGGTCCACCCTAAGAGGTAGTTTATCTAGCAGATACCTGGCACACAGGGACAGACGGCTGGTCTTTCAGTGTGGGTGGAGGATAAAATGTAAAGAAAACAGTCGTGAGAGTCTGACCCACAGCTCAAGCAGTCAACGAGACTTGCAAAGAAAATGCTTTCTATATATTATGGTCAAAAGCACTACAACACAATACAACAAACAAATTAAGAAAATCCTAGTGTAAAAATACATCATCGTCATCGTCTCCGGATTATATAGCAACGTTTTGAAATTGGATCTTCCTCAGGAAAGTGGTTAAGATGCTGAACTGCAGGCTGGAAGGTCGGTAGTTCAGCAGTTTGAGACCCGAGTGCCGCATGACTGAGTGAGCCTCCGTCTCTGGTTCCAGCGCCTGCCAACCTAGCAGTTTGAAAGCGAGAAACTGCATGTAGATAAATAGGTACCGCTTTGATGGGAAGGGAACAGCGCTCTGTGTGCCTTGGTGTTTAGTCATGCCGGCCACATGACCATGGAAACGTCTTCGGACAGTGCTGGCTCTTCGGCTTGGAAACGGAGATGAGCACCGCAACCCTAGAGTCGGATTCGACTGGCTTTCGAGCAAGGGTAACCTTTACCTTACAGGAAATGTTAGAGTAGTACAAAAGCTCTCTTGCTCGTAAAGTGCTTTACAAAAACGTCATGAAAGATAATACATTCAGATAGGACGCTGATCTCAATAAGGATTCAGGCTCAAATATGCTGCTAAGCTTCTAATGGATCCCAGCTGTCTAATATTTCCTGAGGACGATCCAATTTTGAAACGCTGTTATATAATCCGGAGACGATGATGTATTTTTACACTAGGATTTTCTTATGATTTGAAGGAATTTGTTTATTGTACTATGTTGTAGTGCTTTTGACCATAATATGCAGAAAGCATTTTCTTTGCAAGTCTTGTTGACTGCTTGATCTGTGGGTCAGACTCTCACAACGGTTTTCTTTACATTTGTCCTCTGATTAGGTTGTGATTGTCCACATTTGTCTTCTTTAGGTGGGGGTGCCGGGTGGTGAAGGGCTCTGAAGAGCTCCCAAGGTCATAACTTGACTTTTGGTATGGCCTTGGCACCAGATGATCTGTACCTACAAATCAGGCTTGCCAGGAAGATGATTGGCCACAGGGCAGTGAATGAACATGCTACAAATACAGGGCATGATCTGGGCATATTCTGTTAGAGTGGCCGCACACAGGTGATGGGGGGGCGTAGAGGGGGCTTTCAAAAATGAGGGGAAAAAACAATCTGTCTTTCAGGTTCTGCTTTTATCATAAGCCAGGGTGACCAAAAACCATTATTACTTAGCGTTTTGTTTCTGCAGAAATTTGGAACATCTTATACGAGGCCGAAGCAGAATCTTAACTCGAGAGCAGTTTTAGCTGTCGGAATGAACCAGGGCTGACTTTAAACCTAGGAGGGTTTGTTTATTTAATCTCAACGCGTTAGAAGGGGATCCCCCAGGGTCATCTAGTCCAACCCCCTGCCAAGTGCAGGAACTACAGTTTTCATATCCCCAACAAGTAGGTGTCGAATCCATACTTAAAAACCTCCGACGACAGAGGATCCACCACATTGTGAGTAAGACTGTTTGGTGTAGTGGCTAAGTGCGCAGACTCTAATCTGGGAGAACCGGGTTTGATTCCCCACTCCTCCTCCACTTGCACCTGGCTGGATGACCTTGGGCAAGCCGTAGCTCTGATAAGAGCTGTTCTTGAAAAAGAGCCATTTCTGTCAAGAGCTCTCTCAGCCCCGCCTGCCTCACAGGGTGTGTGTTGTGGGGAGGGGGAGGGGAAGGAATCTGTCAGCCCCTCTGAGACTCATTTGGGTAGTGAAGGGCGGGATATAAACCCAGTCTCCTCCTCTCCTCCTCCAATGCTGAACCCCTTTCACCGTCAGGAGCCAGTTTGGTGTAGTGGTTAATAGCGGTGGACTCTAATCTGGAGAACCGGGCTTGATTCCCCACTCCTCTTCCATGTGCAGCCAGCTGGGTGACCTTGGGTCAGTCACAGCTCTCTCAGAGCTGTTCTCTCAAGAGCTGTTTTCTCAGGGCTCTCTCAGCCCCACCTACTTCATGGGGTGTCTGTTGTGGGGAGAGGAACAGAAGGAGTTTGTAAGCCACTCTGAGTGAAGGGGAGGGTATAAATCCAGTCTCCTTCTCCTCTTCCTCCTCCTTCTCCTCAAATTTAGACATTAGAGCAGTAATGGTGAACCTTGTAGAGACCGAGTGCCCAAACTGCGACCCAAAACCCACTTATTTATCGCAAAGTGCCAACACGGCAATTTCTGAATACTGAGGTTTTAGTTTAGAAAAAACCACTCATACCTTAATTTAAGATGATCCAAACAAAGTAAGGAAAGCAATCCCAAATGCTTTCATTTACTTATTTAGCAGAGAATTCGACACTTTAATGATGGTCTGGGCCTGGCTGGGGCGATGGCACCTAACCCTAACCCTAAACCACAGGGAGGGCTCTGAGTGCCACCTCTGGCACCACTGCATTACAGGAAGGTCTTCCTCAACTTTCGTCTTCCTTTGTTGTCGTTTATATCCATTTGTTCAAGTCCTGCTACCCAAAGCAATCGAAAACACGTCCACCCCATTCTGCATACGGCATCCCTTTAGGTATCGGGAGGTGGCAGTCATATCACTTCACACGTGTCTCTTGCGTTAACTTCCCCCCTCCTTGGGTGTATTGTGTTCTCTCCCCCCCCCCCAGGACTGGAACGTGACATGGCATACGGAGAACCCCGACTTCACCCCGTGCTTTCAGAACACCGTCCTCGTGTGGATGCCTTGCCTTTATCTCTGGGCCTGCGTCCCAATCTACTTGCCGTACCTCCATCGCCACGACAGGGGCTACATCCAGATGTCCCACCTCAACAAAGCCAAAACAGTGAGTGGTTCCGCCGTTGAGGCCGAGGTCTTGCTTCAGCAGCTGAAGAGGGAGAGACGAAAAGTAGCCCGCTCACCCCCTTTGGAGGAGGCTCTTCCCAAAAGGGAAGTTTACGTTGACTGCTTGAACCTCTGGCGTGCCGGCTGTCGTGTGAAGGGAAAGCACGTGCTTGAAGGGGAAGCACAACAGGACTTTGACTTGGTAGAGTGAGGGAGGGGGGATCCGGTACTGCTTGTGGTGTGTCCTGGGGCGGAGCATGTGAGGCGCCAGTGGTGCGGAGCAGTGCTCCCTCTAAGCCGTGGAGTCTTGTGAGCAAAATTTTTACTTTGTGAGCTCCTGGCATCAAAGTTGTGAGCAAGCGATTTGGCTGTTGCATAAATCAGTTTGCTCTGGAGCCATCCCTTCCTGAGCTAAGGCAAGAAAAATGTGTGAGATGGAGGGTGAAAAACTGTGAGCTAGCTCACACTCACTCAGCTTAGAGGGAACACGGGTGCAGCGGTGCCTCATCTGGAAAAGAGCAATAGTCTGGCAAGCCGCTTGGCCCACCGGCAGACTGTCAGCAAGCTGCCAATATGTCTTTTCCATGCATATGAGATGTGTCCATCCCCCCCCTCTCTCCTCCCCTGGACTGGCTTAGACTCTTGTGCGCATGTCCCCCCTCACCCTCATGCGCTCATCTTCAACTGCATTCCTTTCCATGTACGCTAGCAGTGCTTAGAAGGAACCTTATCTGCCAAGGCTACAGGTGGTTCGCGTTTGGAGGCTTTTTGCTTAGTCTATAATGAACAGTAGTGTGAGAATAGAGTAATTGTTTAATCAGCTACAACCGTTGCTTTCTCAGGGTTTGGGCGCACGATGAGTCCTCAGGGCGGGCGCGGGAACCATATCTATTGGCCCATGTTACTTTAAACTTGCTTTATTATACCTGTCTCAAGCACCTTGTGTTATTCTGAACAGAGAATCTGTTCTAAGTACTTCATGGCTTCAATAAAATAAAACCTTCCTGCAAGAGTGTATTTCATTGTTTGCTGTGAGTCTGACACAGACGATGACTTCTCCTCCCCCTCCTCCTCCTCGATTGACTATTAAAAAATGTTTCTTTTTCTGTTTCAGGCCTTGGGTCTTATACTGTGGATAGTCTGCTGGGCAGACCTTTTCTACTCTTTCTGGGAAAGAAATCACAATATTTTCCGTGCTCCAGTTTTTTTAGTTAGCCCGACCATTTTGGGCATCACCATGGTAAGTGAAGAGAGGTGCTGGTTTCTTCTCTTAGCTTTTAATCGGGTTAGATTCAGGTGGGTAGCCATGAAGCAGCAGAACAAAGTCTTGAGTCCGGTAGCATCTTTAAGACCAACAAAGTTTTATTCTGGGTATAAGTTTTTGTGTCAAAGAGCCAGTTTGGTGTAGTGGTTCAGTGTGCGGACTCTAATTTGGGAGAACCGGGTTTGATTCCCCCACTCCTCCACATGCAGGTGCTGGTGTGACCCTGGGTCAGTCACAAGTTCTCTCAGAGCTGTTCTCTCAAGGGCAGTTCTCGAGAGAGCTCTCTCAGCCCCACCTACCTCACAGGGTGTCTCTTCTGGGGAGGGAAAGGAGTTTGTAAGCCGCTCTGAGACTCCTTCAGGTAGTGAAGGGCAGGGTATAAATCCAGTCTCTTCTCTATACCCAGAATTAAATTTTGCTGGTCATACAGGTGCAGCTGGACTAAAAATGTGTGTTTTAATTGCGTGTCGGCAAAGGAAGCCTGTTTCCGTTCTGGATTTGGGACAGGCAGGAAGGGCTTAAAATCATTTCAAAAGGGTGACCTTTTTATACTTGCTGTTTTATTTGTATTGTTTTTATTGTGGTTTTTTTTATAATAGTTTTGTTCCACAAGGGAAGAAGGCGGCTTAAAATGCTTGAAATAAATTAATTTAAAATGGTCTTGCACTGATAAATGGCTCAAATGTGTGCTTAGAACGGGGGTCCTCAACCTTTTTGAGGCTGTGGGATTGGAATTCTGACACAGTGTGGTGGTGGTGGGCAAAACTACAAAATGGCTGTTGCTGCTTACCTTCAGGCACCCAGTGAAATTTTTTGTGCGGGGGGGGGGGGGAGCCTCTGCCAAAGCAATGTTTCGTTAAAAATCTGCATAGCCAATGAGAAGCCTTTCTGGGCACAAGCCCTATTTGACCCCACCCACTTTCTGAAAACACTTGGCGGGCACCAAGAAAAGTGTCGGCGGGGGCCACGTTGGAGACCCCTGTCTTAGAAGATGGATTTCAGCGGCGGTTCACTCTTGGTGGCGCATGAGTGCGACGGTCTTCTGGCTATTCTGGTCTTGCCGCAGCCCTGAGGGAATAAGAGGGTCACCGCTTTCATTTCCACCCACAGCTGTTTGCCACCTTTTTGATACAGTACGAGAGGATGAAAGGAGTCCAGTCTTCAGGTGTGATGCTGACTTTCTGGCTCGTTGCGCTGTTATGCGCGGCCATCACCTTCAGGTCCAAAATACTGCTCGCCTCCGGCAAGGTAAGGTGCCGGTTTCTCGGCCAGGCCCAGGGGACGCCTGGAATCACGGCCCGTTTGCTTGTTTAATGATTGACCTGGCAGTTCCACCGGAGCGGAAGGCACTAAGCAAGTTAATGGCCCGTTAAACGCTCCCTGAGAGCCGTTTAGGTGGGGCTTGTCTGGGTTATCGGCTTGTTCTTTCATGTTTAAAAGCTCTCATCAGAGCCCTTGGTGTTCTGGCTCTCAAAAACGCCCTCTTGGAAACCAAGTCCAGAGACGTGGATCTCTGCAGATAAAAGAGCACGTGAAATGCTCTGTCCTTTTCCTGGTGCAGAATTCCCTACTCTGTAATTTAAAAAAATGCCTCTTTTGAGTGTGTGTGTGCCTGCACCTAATCCAGGTGTTCTTTTAATCAGAAACGACCCTCACTCCGTACACCTGTCTCTTCTGCTCCCATTAGAATGTGGTTCACCCGCAGCAGTTTTAAACTGGGCAATGTTTCGTCTGTGTGCCTGGTTTCTGTTACCGTTGCCCAACAGATCGGAGGAACCCATTGAGCGTGCCTCTGGCTCTCATTGTCGCGCGATGCATCTTTTAAGGCAGCGATGGCCAGCCTCTTTGGCATGGTGACCCAACAGAACAGGCACAGAAATAGTAATAAAAGTTCCATGTAGCCAAACGGTCCTTCTTGGCTGGCGCAAGATAGATCAAGATGGGGTTGCCCCTGTTTGTCTGGAGCAGCAGAAAAGAGCCAGAGTCCAGGAGCACATGAAAGACTAACAACATTTGTGGCAGCGGAGGAGCTTTCAGGAGTCACTGCTCACTTCTTCAGATACAAAGGAAATGACTCAGGAAAGCTCATGCCCTGTTGTTAGTCGCTACTGGACTCTTGCTTTCTTCTTGCCTAGCATAGTTTGGTTTCCCCTTTGTGGAGCCACACGCTGGAAAGTTATTTGTTGATAGGAATGCTTAAAGCCATTGCCTGGGTATCCCAGCTGGCATTGGCGAGGGAGAGGAAGAAGAGGAATTAATTTTATTTATTTATTTATTTTAAGATCAAGAGAGAGATCTTGGAGTCGTAGTGGATAACTCACTGAAAATGTCGAGACAGTGTGTGACTGCAATAAAGAAGGCAAATGCTATGCTGGGGATTATTAGGAAGGGTATTGAAAACAGATCAGCCAATATCATTTATAGCTTTGGAAAAAGTGCAGAAAAGAGCAACTCGAATGATAAAAGGGTTGGAACACTTTCCCTATGAGGAACGGTTAAGGCGCTTAGGGCTCTTTAGCTTGGAGAAACGATGACTGAGGGGTGACATGATTGAGGTTTATAAGATTATGCATGGGATAGAGCAGGTAGAGAAAGAGGTACTTTTCTCCCTTTCTCACAATACAAGAACTCGTGGGCACTCCATGAAATTGCTGAGCGGTCGGGTTAGAACGGATAAAAGGAAGTACTTCTTCACCCAAAGAGTGATTAACACTTGGAATTCACTGCCACAGGAAGTGGTGGCGGCTACAAGCATGGACGGCTTCAAAAGGGAATTAGATAAGCATATGGAGCAGAGGTCCATCAGTGGCTATTAGCCACAAGGTATAGATAGGGACTCTGGGGCAAGTGATGCTCTGTCATCTTGGTGCTTGGGGGGGTCAACAGTGGGAGGGCTTCTAATGTCCTGGCCCCACTGGTGGACCTCCTGATGGCACTGGTATTTCTGGCCACTGTGTGACACAGAGTGTTGGACGGGATAGGCCTTTGGCCCGATCCAACATTGGCGTCTCTTATGTTCTTATCTTAAGCCCCCGGAGGGGATTTTTTATTGATTTTTATCCACTACAAAAAACTACAACAGAAAAGAAGGGAAGGGGAAAACTACATATACAGGAGAAAGTAAAGAACCCACTACTAACTAAAAACCCAAGAGAGGAGATCCTCCAACTAGCTTAGATACATCAATCTTCCCATCGTTGATCCCTTTATAAACTGAGTCAAACCTTTATAGCCCTTTTCCCTTAGAGTTTAAATTTGACTGTCTAGTAACAGTACCCCCAATCATCCCAAAACCAGAGTTCTCAAAGGCACAATTCAGAGTCCTTCAGCCTTACTTCTTCTTTTCCCTTCTCTTCCGCAACTTATAAGGGCTTTTTGGAGCTGCTGCCCCTTGCTCAGACAGAGAGTCCTCTCCAGAAGAGAATTAATTTTATTTTTTATGTTTTTATACTGCATCCTCTCTTGTACAGTCTCGGAGCAGTTTACAAAGAAACATTCAACAGCAAACATTTGATAAAACTCATCTGGACATTAAAATAGCACCGGCTAGTAAAATGCAATTACAGTAAACATTTATAAAGCATGAGTACGTATGAATAAGCACTGCTGCACTGCCCGCTCTGTAATGTCATTCAACATCAGTCTATTGCTCCAATTCCGTCAGCTACACCCGGAAGATATGAACAACTCTATGGCTGCGATCACACACACACACCAAAAAATCCACTTCCAATCCATTTTCAAATGGAATTTTTCCAGTTCACACAGTAAAATCCAGTTGGAACGTGGATTGAAAGTGGAACGTTTAGTGTGTGTGATCAGAGCCTTTGTCTCTCTCCTCCTCGCAGACTCCTCTCGGGAGACAACCCACGCAGTTGCCAGATTTTGCCTGTGGTTGTGTGGGATATGCAAGCAGCTGATTGCATCCCAGTAACTTTGCCAGTTTGGTGTAGGTGGTTAGGAGTGCGGACTCTAATCTGGGCAAACCAGGTTTGATTTCCCACTCTTCCACATGCAGCTGCTGAAGTGACCTTGGGCCAGTCACCGGTTCTCTCAGAGCTGTTCTCTCAAGGGCAGTTCTCGAGAGAGCTCTCTCAGCCCCACCTTCCTCACAGGGTGTTTGTTGTGGGGAGGGGAAGGGAAAGGTGATTGTAAGGCGCTCTGAGACTCCTTCAGGTAGTGAAGGGCAGGGTATAAATCCAATCTCCTCCTCCTCCTCCTCCTCCTCCTCCTCCTCCTACTCCTCCTCCTCCTCCTCTTCTTTATCATACTGTACCACCATTGATATATTAACGGTCTTATGTTATGTTTTATGTATTTCTTAATGTATTTTTATTGTGATATGTATCTTGTTTTATTGGTTTTTATGTAAGCCGCCCCAAGCCTGCTTCGGCGGGGAGGGCGGGGTAAAAGTTGAAACAATAAATAAATAAAATAAAATTTTCTTTTCCTTCTCCTCCTCCTCCTTCTCTTTCTTCTCCTCCTCCTCCTCCTTCTGTTAAAGGGAGGGCTTTACTTTTCTTGTCCCCCTTCTTAATCTCCGTTCGATGTTTTGTGTTTGCCGCGTTGCGCGCACTGTATTATTTGCCAGTTCTCCGGAGCCGATCTTGTATTGAGATAAGAGTTTCCACTGTGTATAAGCAAATTCCTAAAAAGCGATCCGGTCCCCAGTTTCCAGGTATGGGCAGTGGGCAGTTCCACAAAATGCAGCCAGAGGCCTGATGGAACAGAGCGGCCTTCCACGCCCCGTGGAACGCAAGGAGGTGCTGCAGAGCGTGGGACTCATCGGGGAGCTGGTTCCAATGGGCAGGAGCACAACGGCTGCGAAGGCCCTGGAAGGAGAGAAATGGGTAGTTGGGGGGGGGGGGGGTACTCCCCACACAGTCCAACAAGCTGCTTCATCCTGGGTAGGGACTTTATGGCTCTTTGCTCAGTCGAGTGCGATTTGTGGTATGCCGCAAAATGCCACGTGCGGGTCTGTTAACCACAGTGCCTGACTGATTCCTTTTTGTAGGGCGCTGAGATCGATGTGTTCCGTTTCGCGACCTTCTACATCTACTTCGCCTTGGTGCTCCTGCAGCTGATACTGTCCTGCTTTGCCGAACGGCCGCCACTGTTTTCAAAAGTGGTTCACGTCCCCGTAAGTCACGAGTCCTGCTTCTGCCGCGGGAGGGGAGCCCTGCCAGCTCCGCTTGAGAACCTGAAGTGCTTTTCTGTACTGACGTCTAACATTCTATACCTGGTGGGCGGGGGAAGGTGCCGTCACGTTCCAGTCAGCCAGCGGTGACCTTGTAAGGTTTTCAAGGCGAGTGGTTTGCCCGTTGCCTGCCTCTGCATAGCGACCCTGGACTTCCTCGGTGGTCTCCCACCCAAGGACTAACCAGGCCAACCCTGCTTAGCTTCTGAGATCTGATGAGATCTGGCTAGCAAATGACACTCAGAGGTCTTTTGCCATTCCCTGCCTCTGCGTGACAACCCTGGACTTCCTTGGTGGTCCCCCATCCAAGCACCAACCAGGGCAGACCCTGCTTAGCTTCTGAGATCTGGTGAGACTAGGCTGGCCTGGGCCATCCAGGTCAAGGCAAGAGATGAGCAGAGGTGGCTCGCCCTTGCCTGCCTCTGCGTAGCAACCATGGACTTCCTTGGGGGTCTCCCGTCCAAATACTAACCAGGACCAACACTGTTGAGCTTCCAAGATCCGATGAGATCAGGCTAGCCTGGGCCGTCCAGGTCAAGGCAAGAGACAGTCAGAGGTGTTTTGCCATCGCCTGCCTCTGCATAGCGACCCTGGGCTTCCTTGGTGGTCTCCCACCCAAGTACTAACCAGTACCGACCCTGTTTACCTCCTGAGATCTGATGAGATCAGGCTAGCCTGGGCTGTCCAGGTCAGGGCAAGAGATATTCAGAGGTGGTTTGCCATCGCCTGCCTCTGCATAGCAACCCTGGACTTCCTTGGGGGTCTCTCATCCAAGTACTAACCAGGACCGACCCTGCTTAGCTTCCGAGATCTGATGAGAACAGGCTCGCCTGGGCCATCCAGGTCATGGAAATCGATGACCAGAGGTGGCTCGCCCTTGCCTGCCTCTGCGTAGCCACCCTGGACTTCCTTGGTTGGTCTCCCACCCAAGTACTGACCAGGAACGACACTGCTTAGCTTCCGAGATCCGATGAGACCGGGCTAGCCTCGGCCATCCAGGTCAGGGCAAGAGACAAACAGAGGTGGTTTGCCATGGCCTGCCTCTGCGTAGCCACCCTGGACTTCCTTGGTTGGTCTCCCACCCAAGTACTGACCAGGAACGACACTGCTTAGCTTCCGAGATCCGATGAGACCGGGCTAGCCTCGGCCATCCAGGTCAGGGCAAGAGACAAACAGAGGTGGTTTGCCATGGCCTGCCTCTGCGTAGCCACCCTGGACTTCCTTGGTTGGTCTCCCACCCAAGTACTGACCAACTGAGGCTAACGTCTGAGATCCGATGAGATTAGGTCGGGCCATTTTTACCTGACCACATGTAAACAAGTTCTTGATTTTCATCTAGGGGGTGATTTTCATCTAGAAACCACTCCGTGTCGGGGCTGATTTGGTAGCGGTTTCGCTGAAAGGCTGCCTTGTTCCAATTTTCCATTTCTATAAATATTTGCAATGTGGAAACTTTTTTTTCTTTTCTTTTTTTTGGGCACGGAGGCTTGTGGTGAACAGCTTTCGAGAGGAGCTGAAAGAACACGCTTTGGGCTGGATGTGGCCATCTTGGGTTCTCACCCACACCTAATTTCTCTGTTTATTAAAGCCCCTATCCCGAATCGCTTTTGAGCTTGCAGACACCCCCACCCCCAAACAAAAAGCTGATTAGATCCAACCCGGCGACTGGAGGGGTCCCGTCTGGAGTCTTGGTGCTAGAGCGCCTTCTTTTCTGTCTGGGACAAGCGTTCTTCGGTGGTGGTCTGACTTGCGTCCTTGTCCTCTGACGCAGTTGCAAACTGCAAACGGGGTTCTCGTGGCAAAACGAGATGGGAAGGCCTCGGTTTGCACGTGGGATTAACACCATTGCTGTGCTTTGACAGCTGCAGGCCAGCTCCTAATTATGTTCACGCTTGGTGCGTGTAGTTTTATTTTTAGGCGGTCATGTTCCATGCATACGCATGCACAGCTGGAGGGATGGTGGATGACTTTGGTGTGTTTGACCGCAGTGTTGAAAACCAAAATGTAGCTGGCACGAAGGCGGGGGGAAAGATGGTAAAAATAAATTATCAGTGTAGACCAGTTCCTTCCTATACTCCTGGCTTGATGGCATCCATATAGCAATTCTGGTTCCACCTGGTCCCTACCGCTGGCTTAAAAGAGTCTTTGGTTCAAATCCAGCATCGGCCAAGAGTTTGCCTGGTAGTTTCTTCTCTCAATTCCCCTGTCTGTAAAACGGGGACAACAATTCTGGTCTACCTTTACAGGCCTGTTGTAAGACAGCATTTCGTACACTGAACAGACCACATTATTAAATACAAGGGACGTTTAGCCTTTGTAAATGGTCTGCAGGTGGGTAAAACCACACAGGCCACGTGCAGACCAGGTGTGTGTGTGTGGGGACGGCTTTAATATTTAGGAGATTTTCCAGTTGTGCAGAAAACTATGAGTTTGTAAATTAAATGAAAAGGAAAGGGGTATATTATAGCATTGGAAAAAGTGCAGAAAAGGGCAACTAGAAGGATAAAAGGATTGGAACACGTTCCCTATGAAGAAAGGTTGAAGCACCTGGGGCTCTTTAGCTTGGAGAAACGACGGCTGAGGGGTGACATGATCGAGGTTTACAAGATTATACGTGGGATAGAGCAGGTAGATAAAGAGGTACTTTTCTCCCTTTCTCACAATACAAGAACTCGTGGGCACTCAATGAAAATGCTGAGCAGTCAGGTTAGAACAGAGAAAAGGACGTACTTCTTTACCCAAAGAGTGATGAACACATGGAATTCACTGCCCCAGGAGGTAGTGGCGGCTATAAGCACGGTCGGCTTCAAGAGGGAAGTAGATAAACATATGGAGTAGAGGTCCATCAAGGTATAGATAGGGACTCTCAGTCTGGGGCAAGTGATGCTCTGTATTCTCGGTGCTTGGGGGGGCAATAGTGGGAGGGCTTCTAGTGTCCTGGCCCCACTGGTGGACCTCCTGATGGCCCCTGGTATTTTTGGCCACTGTGTGATACAGAGTGTTGGACTAGATGGGCCGTTGGCCTGATCCAACATGGGCTTCTCTTATGTTCTTATGGGGTAGGAGGAGAATACCAGTATCATGATGAGAACCAAGCGCGGACAGGTGTGGAATATTAAAAACTCTGGAGGTCAGCTCAAAGGAGGGAAAAGCATAAAGTGGTCTGTTCAGATGCTGGAAGATTATAAAGTCCCAGAGCAGGAGATTTGAATGGGGTGTGTGTGTGAGCTAGAGTCTCTGCAGGTTGGTGGGGGTGGGAGTTTGTAGTGTCAAACATTATTGGTATAAAAATTACCTTAAAATACCTAACCTTTTATGCTGGGGGGGGGAGAAACAACATAGAACCAAATAATAATCATCATCATCATGGGCTAGATTTGCTCCAGAGTGAAAGGAGATTGAAACAGGTATTTTCAAGTCAAAACAGAAGGTTCAAGAAGTATGAAATCACTCAGGTGTTTTCAGGTCAAAACAGAAGGCTTGAGAAGTATGAACTCATACAGGTATCTTCAGTTCGTAGGGAAGCTGCCTTCATTGCGTAATAGGCATTATGGGAAACACAGCGCAAAGGTTGTCTGCAAAAGAATCCCATTGTGTGTAAAGGCCTACATGAAATTGTTAAACTGTAGAATAATCATCAATAAAGTATAAAATATTTGTTTATTTCAATCTAGGGTATGTACTATCTACAATATATGAGTCAAAACCAACTATAATTCATGAAACAGTCTTATAAACTCTATTATCCAAAATCCAAATCTTCTCAATATTTCAGCTCGTCAGTAGCAGCCCACTATTGATGTAGAGAATTATATAAACACTTGTGCCCACTGTATAAGGCTTCCAGAATTATAATACAAATCAGCAGTAATGTCACTTGATCTCGGCTATGGGAAATGGCGCCCGATGTTCCTCGTTTCAGCTGAACCCTGAATCACAAAGCCACAAAACTGGGAACGCACTGGAATGCCAGAGGTTTGAATATTGAAGGACTGCGTCCTGTGGAAGTCTTATTAATGGCACTGTCCGTGCTGTGAAAATTGGATGAGTTTTTTTGCCAACTTGTGTGCCGTTTTGGAGCTTTTGGACTTTGGAAGGATTTTGTGGTCGAGTTGCACTACTGCTGCTTTGTATTATAATTTTGGAAGTCTTACATGGCGGGCATGAATATTTATAAATTTTTCTACATTGATTGTTAGCTGTTGTGACATTGATATATTAATGTCACAATTTGGATGTGAGTGCTGAATATTGTGAAGCTTTGAATTTTGGATAATAGAGCTTATAAGATTATTTCATGAAATATAGTTGGTTTTGATTCATATATCGTGGATAGTATGTATCCTAGACTGTAATAAATAACACGTATTTTAATATGGCCCCCACTGGTGGACCTCCTGATGGCACCTGGTATTTCTGGCCACTGTGTGATACAAAGTGTTGGACTGGATGGGCCTTTGGCCTGATCCAACATTTAAATAATATATATATATTACTTTATTGACGATGATTCTACAGTTTAGTTTAACAATTTTGCGTAAGCCTTTACACCCAGTGGGTTTCTTTTGTATATGCAGCCTTTGTCGAACAGCAGGCGTTGGCCTACCCCCGTTGGTGCGGATGACCTCTTCTCGAGGCAGAAACATCTTCTGAATGCGCCGTCTCCCCATGTGGCCATGAACTTCTGCCAGCACAAATGTTGTTTTGACAGCAGCCTGACGTTTCTCGCCAGTGGAGGTTGGGGG